ACCCCCCACCCCTCACCCCAAACAACTGCAATAGTGTTTTTTGAGACCATTCCTAAATCAGAATCCTGCATTTAGATTCAAGTAGGAGAGTCCACGTGTCCTTTCTCGCCCCTTTTCCATGTCTCTTGAGCTCACTGGTCTCCCCTCCCTCGTCTCCCTTTCTAACCCACCGCCCCCGAGTCAGGTGAGGCCGAGCCTGCCCCCATCTGGGGGATTTGTCAGTCCACCGCGCTGGCGTGGGTTCTGTGGGCTTTGTACTTTGGTGCTATCTCCAGTATACTTCGGAGGGCTCGGACCAGAGGGCCCGTAATGTCACCTACATGGGACCCATCCTACCAGCTCAAAGACGTGCTGAGACAGCATTCCAGTGCAGACCCTCTCCCCTTGGGCTCTGTCTTTTAAAGGATTTGGGGAGGTCAGGAGTGTGACTTGGGTCCCTTGACCACAGTCAGTGATGCTGGCAGGACCTGCACGTCCCTGCCGGGGTAACAGTGGGCGACAGTGGGGGATGGGTAGGAACTTCAAAGGCCTTCCCTGGCTGTGTCCAAAAGAAAGTTCCGACTTTCTTCCAACCCGCATAGAACTCAGGGTTGATAAATATTACAGCAGTATGGGGTGCCTGGGTGGCTGAGTAGGTGAAGCATCAGACTTGGTTTCGGTCCTGGGGTGGAGCTCCGCAATGGGGGGGGGTCCCTGCTCAGCAGGGGGTCTGCTTGTCTCCCCCCCTCTCGGCCCCTCCCCCCATGCATGCACTCTCTCTCTCAAATAAATAAATCTTTTAAAAAAACTATATTACGGCAGTAATAGTTGAAGCTAAAAAGTGGTCCAATAAAGATTAGCAAGCAAATATTTTTTTTTAATTAATTCACATACGTTTTATTTTCTACCCTTCCCAAAGTGAACATAAGAAGGAAGTATGCAGGTAAAATGCACTGGAAATCAGCACTATCTGGGGCTACTTCCCTGTGCTGGGGGGGACTGCGAGCCCTGGATAATGCGTACTTGTGCCCCCTCGTAGAGTACATCTTGGCCTACTTGCACTTCTGCTGCACGGGAGCAGGCTTTCCGAAGGCGCCTGTGTGTCCAGGTTAGTTTCAGTTCACCAATTTGCTGGGGTCAGTTCTACAGTTGAGAGGTTCTGTCTCCGGGGGCGGCTCGTCCCGCTTGTTCCTGATGTCAGCTGATGCTGTGGGGGGTCCCCATGGACAGCCAGTTCCCGGAGGAGAGCAGGGTGGGCCTGGGGGGCAGGGTGGGGCAAGGTGGGGGGGCTCGTGGCCACCGCTGCTGCTCAGGGCTGCATGCTCTGCTGCCTGGCTCTTTGCCCGAGCTCAGTGGAGCCTGTGGGGTGCCTCCAGAAGCAGAGGGGGAGGTGGGGGCTCTTACTCCAGGGGCATGTTGGGTGGTGCTGGGCGTTGTTCCTGTGGACAGAGCAGAGGGGAGGCAGGCATCAAAGCTGGCGCAAGAACTTACTGGATGCTTTCCTGTTGCACCGTCCTGCCTGCCCAGAACCCACAGAGAAGGCATCACGGGGCAAGAGCACCTCAACAGCCCAGCTCACAAAGGTCACCACTGTGGAGAAAGGGAAGATACTAAGCAGTGCTTGATGGTGACCTTGACCCTCGGACATTCCCTCTGAGGTCACTTCTCCCTCATTGTCCACTTATGATGGGGAGCAGGCAAGTGGACCTTCCATCCAGCTACCGGAGTAGATAGCTCATGTATCTGTGCCTCCAGCCAAACTTGTGTCTTAGCTAGAAACCCGTCCTCTCTGGACACCTCTCCTGAACGTGAGGTGTGGGGGCGGTGGGCACACCTGCCTGGCATGAGCCGGCCCACCACGTCCCACCTGCCTTCCGATTCATCAATGAAATGGGACCATCATCTGCTCTTAGCTATCATCAGGATAACATGAGGCGATGCCTTGGTAGAGACTCAGCCAGAGAACTAGTTTCAACTAGTTCTAATTCTAACATGAATGAAGAGGGTCAGGAAGGGAGCCTGGTAGAGCAGAGCCCTCCTTTCAGATGTTGCTAGCATAATATTTTTAAGCATAGAAAGAGCAACTCCTCAGGGAGCCACTCAGCATCTCCTTCCCAAATCTTACAGTAAGATCCATTTGGCTCCCCTGAGCATCCCATGCCCGTTAAAATGTCTGGAGAGTGCTTTCTTTGGTGTCAGGGCGAACAGCATCATCCATTTGCCCCGTAAAATTGTAGCCCTGAAAGACATGCAAGATTCCTCAGCTATGGCCTCCTGTGAGCCCACTGGACCGGGGAGCTTTCCACTGGGGAGGGTACTGACCATTCTTGCAAACTGTCCCTAGCACAGGGCTGCCTACAAGTCCCCTCAGAAGAGTGCGTTCATTTACCGGCCCCCCCCCACCCAGGTTCCTCTTGGGATATAAATCTGCTTAAATTCAGTGTGAGTTCTTAAAACTAGACAAAAAGAATGGATTTCTTCATTGCTCAGAAGCTGGCCCCTGCCTCCCCGTGTGACCAAAGGGAACCAGAAGTGACTTGTGAGCCTCTCTGGGCAGGGCAGGGTGGAGGCAGGGAGACAGAGCCCCCTTGAGGTAGATCTGGACGTGTGCAGATGTGCAGGTCTGCCCTGAACCAGCATAGGGACCCCACCAGGTGCGGGGGGGGGGCGCCCTCTCTTCTCTGCCCTCCCTCCCCTCCCTCTCCCAGAACAGCTCTGCTTGACTCTCTGTTGCCAGCTTCCTATGCTGACTCGTGGTTTCCACTCCCCCAGACTGCTTGGTCACTGATGGCCTCCAGCCCGTCTTGCTCCTGGACCACTCAGCGCTCCCTGGGCCCAGCTCTTCTGTCAGGCCATGCGTTTCAAGGGGCTTTGGGCAGGCCCTCTTGGGTCAGTTGCCCACCCCTGGTCCCATCAGCTGAGACAGAGAGAGAGGTAGTCTAGGGTCCCCAGCTAGAACATTCATTAGGACAGCAGCAGCTGTTGGGGGGCAGATTAAGCTAGAAGGGGAGATTGGATATGGTGGGCCAATTGTCTAGCACAGGAGACCTAACCTATAATGAGCTAGGTTAATTACTAGCTAATTACTGCTTGGAGCTCCTGGATTTTACCTCCAGTTTAGCTACTAAGGCACACAGTAGGTATTCAGTAACAGATGGTGGTCATAGACGCCTACGTTTGGGTCCCCTTTTCCTGGTGAGTCGTTTGGCAAGACCTAACTGCCATGGGGGGTCATTTTGGCTTTATTTTCTTTAACAGCTTAATTGAGATATATTTTATATACAGTAAAGTTCGGCCGTTTAAAATGGAAAATTCAAAGACCTCCAGTATACTCACAAAACTGTGCAGCCATCCACACAATCTGCTTTAGAATATTTTTGGCATCCGAACAAGCAGCCCCAGCCCCATTAGCAAGCACTAATCTGCTTTCCGTCTCTATAGAGTTTTATTTATTCTAGATGTTTCATATCCATGGAATCCCCCAACACGGGGGCCTTTTGTGTCTAGCTTTTTTCACTTGGCACAGTGTCTTGGCAGTGCATCCGTGTTGGAGCGGGAATCGGGGATCCATTCCTTTTTGTGACCGAGTAATATTCCACGGCGTGGCCTGCGCTGCAGTCACTGGCTAGTTAGCCCCGGGACTTACCTGTGTCGGCACCCTCTGTACTCACCTCGCCTGTGAGGAGCCTGACCAGGACATGTAGAGCAGGATGAGGAAGAGAAGCATGACGAAGAATGCCAGGCTCGCCCAGAAGGTGATGACAATCAAATCTGGGGGGGGGGGTGCATCTCAACATCAGCGTGACGCCACCGGAGCCCGCAGCCAGGGGAAACAGGGCCCTGAGGAGAGGCGTTTCTCCCCTCTTCCAGCCTCTCTCAGCCTCTCAGCCGTGAGCAGTGGGAAGACTTTTCCACGAACAGTAACCTTGGGAAGGACCAGGGCAGCAGGGAAGTGACTTTTTCCCTGAGCAACGGACGGCAGGGTTGCTGAGGGAAAACCAGTCCGTGAAATTGGGTGGCACCCCATGGATGTGCTTTTTCGGCTCCTGGTGCTCGCCTCCTTCCCCTTCTCCACAGAGGGAGAAGAAAGGGCTGTGGGCAGCTCATGTGACAGCCAGCCTCCCCTCCCCTGTGAGGGCAGCAGGGGCCTGGGGGCACTCCTCCATCAGGGGCAGCCTCAGAGACCCCAAGACTCAGAGATTTTAGGAGGAGGTGAGTTCGACTAGGGGGCTGGAACCCTCCTGTGGTGGGCAAGGCAGACTTTTTTAACCGAGGCCTCACTGCCCCCTTTCTTTCAGGGGCACGCACCCAGCTGGGGGGGGCAGTGACAGGAGGGAAGATCCCCTGTGCAGCCGGCCCTGGGCCTAGATTTGTGGCCAGAGGCGGAAGGGGCAGGGAAACTGGGAATCATACTTCGCCTCTTGGAGGCTCTGGGTAGAACCTGGCAGGCCAGGAGGTACTGTTCTCCGGGGCTCCAGATCAGGAACATTCTGCGAGTTGCTAGGTGCTGTTGCAATACGGTAGTGTTTCTTGGTGGTGGATGATGGCTACGGGCACAGCTCACCGGGCTCATAATTAGTGTGTGCAAGTATCTTACCCCAGACACACTCCTGCCCCCGGGCCCAGATGCCCCCAGCTGGACCTGCTAGACACCTACACGTGTGAGCAAAGGAGGCTACTGCAGGGTGATCACCCCACAGGAATTTATTAAGCACCCACTCAAGTCAGGCGCTGCCAGGGGCTGTGAAGGATTCGGAGGGGACCACAGTAGCACAGCAAAACGGCCGCCCCCTCTCTCCTGCATGCTCCTCCCCTACATCCTCCTCTGAGCTCCTGCCCGGCCTTGTGCTGTGCTCTGTTAAACAAAAAGATGTTTAGGAATGGGTAAGCGCATGAGGAAACGAACAGAAAGACAGAATGAATGGGGTGTTAGTGATTTGTGTGTCATCTACACAGAGCCAGGAAGTGAAGGCGCTGGGGGTAAATAATGACCCTTGAGTAAAGGGTGTCACCTCTACTCTCCATGACCCAAGACAGGTAGAGAGAGAAACCAAAGGCTTGTTAAGAGTTCATCTTAGACCTTGACAGCATCAAAAACAGTTACAGGAAGAGATGCAGTACTCGCTGAAGGAATCAGAGCCCCCACTACCTTGAAATGAAGCATCAGCAACTTAGCCTCCACGATCCAGAAAGACAAGGACAACAAAGACCCCCAGGCTGGCTCCCACAATCCTCTCTCCTCTCTGTCCCTGAGCTGAGAAACGGACGGTGGTGCCCCAGAACACTGACCGGTTTTAGGGGGTGTATGGGCTCCCGGGAAATAGGGAATGAGGTTGTTACTGTCTGTCCTGAAGGACTTTTGAAAGGAGGCTCTGGAGTTCTCAGCATTCCCTGACTGCTCACCGCACATTATTCTAGAACACGTGCTTCGGTTCCACCAGCTGGTCACAATTTATTTTATAACCCTCAAAGTGGGACCGTATAAATGCTTTCAGAAGGTTTGGTTTATATTCTGTAAGGATGTTTTGGATTTAGGCAACCACCACTGCTCTATCTCCTTCATAAAAATCATACAGGGTGGGGCGCCTGGGTGGCTCAGTCGGTTGAGCGGCTGCCTTCGGCTCAGGTCATGATCCCGGGGTCCCCGGGATCGAGCCCCGCATCGGGCTCCCTGCTCGGCGGGGAGCCTGCCTCTCCCTCTCCCTCTGCCTGCCTCTCTGCCTACCTGTTCTATCTCTCTGTCAAAATTAAAAAAAAAAAAAAATCATACAGGTTTTGAGATCTTCAGCACCTAGAGAAGTTCCGTCGGGGCCTCTAAGAAAACAGCTTCAGAAGTTCAGCAGCTGAGACACAACCCCCCCCCCCCCTTCTCCTGGGCTCACACGCATCTGCTTAGCCCTTGGTCAACTATCCCCACATACTGAGCAGGAAATGAAGCAACACCTTCCACAGAACACAGTGTCTTCAGAGAAGTGAAATTTGAATTGTTTTCAGACCAAGAAGGCTATCAGTAGCCACTGGCCATTTCCTGTACTAAATTCTCTTTCCTTGTGTTCTGCTGAAAAAGATGGCCAAAAAAAAAAAAAAATAGGGTTCTTTTTCCTCTTCCTACTGAAGATTCAGTCTAAGTGCTTGGAGAGAACATTTCATTCCAGGGCAAGTGATGTCATCCACCAGGGCTGGAAATGTTTAAACATCCCTGAGGAGCACCAGGTTGGCTTGACAAGGAAACTGGTCCAGCCATGGAAAACTTTCCTCCCCTCACCCATCCTCTTCCCCTCCCTTCCCCTCCCCTCCCCGCTCCTCATTTACTTCCTTTTTCTCCTCTCCCCTCTTCCCTCCCTCCCTCCTTCCTTCCTTTCCGAGTCCACACTGTGGGAGTTAGGCATCCCCGATCGATTGACAAGAAGAGGCTCGAACGGCAATGGTGGGGCTTCACACTGGGGGATTCCTCATCCTACCCTGGAGCTGAGAAAGTAACCGGACCCAGATACTCCCTACTCATAGCAGGCACCTCGGTTTTGTTCAGTTTTGTGAACTGCTAAACCTCCGTTTTAGCCTTCCTCCAAATGCTACTAACGTTTGGGTCCCCGAGTCCTGATAGGAGATTAACTCCAAGATTTTTCCCTTCCTGGGGAACAACAACCGGGTTAAGGGCCTAGGCGCTGCAGGTGGGTGGTGTTGGATTCAAGTTCTGACTTGGCCATTTTCTAGCCATAGGATCTCAGGCAATCTGAGATTTTTACACCTTAAATGGGGATGATGGTGTGTGTTAGATAGACTGTTAGGTGGATTAAATAAAATAATATGTATCTATAATGCACATGGCACAGTTCCTTGTTTAATGGTTGTGAAATGATATATAAAAAGAACTAAAATTATTTTTTCTGTTCAGAGGGTATTGGGCAAGTGATATCACTGTGTCCTTCAAGCTCCACTGAAATGTGAATTATGAGTAAAGGTAACTGCAGTATAGACTGCTAGCTGTGAATCCTCATGTTTGCTTACAGGTGCTTTCATAGTAATAGAAGCCCTGCCTTTTGCTGCCTGGGATAAAGACTACATTTCCCAGACTCCCTTTCAGCTAGATATGGTCATGTGACAAGGTTCTGGCCAATGAGATGTGAGTGGGACTATTACAGGACAGCTACTGGAAGGCCTCCTGCAGAGACTGCTCGATTTCTAATAACCTTGTATCCCTTCGTAATCCCGTATTACATTTTGCTGGTGGGAACGTGGATGTGATGGCCAGAGCACGGCTTGGAGTGTGAGGATGAGGGACATGTTCGGGGGACGGCAGAGCAAGGAGCCGGAAGGAAGCTGGCTTCTGAGGAGTTCATGGGGCCGACCCAGCACCTGGTCCTGCAGACTTTCATGTGAAAGAGAAACCAACTTCTCTTGAGCCTGGTACTCTGTTAATTGTAACCAGTCTTCTTCATTTGAATCAGTAAAAAGAGCCGACTTTTTAAATGAGCGTACCAAAATTTACAAATCCAAATGAATGCTGACTTTCACAATAATCATCCTCTATCATAGAGGCATATAAATTTTCCTAAAATACATATCTTAATTAAACATTTATAAACATTTACCAAAGATTCATAAATGTTTATAAATTATTCTTTGGGAATTATCATCAAGGACACACACACACACACACACACACACACACGTTTTGCTACTTTGTAAAATCATATTTTATTTTCGACACCCAGGCAGTACCAATCAGCTCAGTCATCCCTTCCATTCACCTGATCGGTTTATGGGTGATTCTAACTATTTCCCCAAAGCAAATCCACCCTCAAAAGAGATACATAGTTTATCACTGTAGATGTCCCATAGAACATGTTGTCACTACCAAAGTCAGTTCCAAAAGAAGAGCCCCAAGCAGTTTTTGAGCAGTAATGGAATCATTCGCATGTAGCACCTCTAGGTGGGGCTACCTCGATGGGAAATTCGTTCCGAGGTAAACAGTCTCATATCTTGTTTAAAAAAAAAAAAAAATCACTTTCACCGCTTATATCCTATCCATAGGGCTGACCGTTGGCTGAAGAGTTACAAGTCTCGGTTAAAGTTGTAATATAAAATTGGTTGCTCTGATGTGAGAAAAGAGTTACACGTAGGTCTTTTGCTCGGTCTTCTCGCTGAGTTCTCTGCCTTGTGTTCAGAAGAGATGGGTTAGTGGCATGTTTCTGTTCTTCCTCTCCCAGCTGTGGGAGCAGCAGGTGAACAGACCGCCTTATTATTGAAGCTGCCAGAGCTGGCACATCAGTGGAAGTCGATACAGGTTATGACAGATTGTTCCTAAGCCATAATTAAAGGAAGAAGACATACTGACCAGAGAAGTAAATAATAGCGTGTGAAAGCCAGACACTACCCAAAGGAAATCAATCCATCTTGCTGCTTCCTGCAAGGGAGCATCAGAGCTGTATCTGGAATGTATACGTATAATTCATTCAGGCAGAGCCTCAAGAAACAGATTTGCCTTGCCCACCTTTTTGACAGTGTTGGGGAGATTCTTAACCTTTCCCCGAAACAGAAATCATATCTGAAAATCACAAGGGTAAAAATCCTTGTGAAGTCCCTGTAACAAAATCACACCAGATTTCAAGCCAACCCTGGGAAAGAGCAACCCAGAGCCTTCGAGTCAGCACTGAATGCTCCATAAAATATGTATATCAGTCCCTGGATGTTTCCAATGATCTGCCCATCCATGACGGAATAAATTCCAGTGTATGGGCATGAACACAAAAATCTTAAAATCCTCCCTG